TGAAGGGTAGGTTCCGTTTCGCGCTCGTCCAACGCTTTTTGAAATTTTAATGGATACTAATTGAAATGAAAATGTAACTAACAGTTGTAGCGAGAGGAAAAAAAATCTCATATTTAACAAGAGGTTACTTAATTACTTATTATTTACTTATTTTGAAACTAATATATATATATATATATATATATGGTGTTGCAGTCCCCTTCTATTGAGGGATCCCTAAAATAATTTTATTTGAGGGACACCCTTTAAGGTCCCTTATGAATTTTTTTTTTTCAACGATCCAAACCATATATTTTTTAAGTCTACATTCATAGATCATCCTTGCAAAAAATTAGACAAATCGGAAACCGTTTCGTTATCCAATTATGTCCTACAAAATCGATCAAACCCAAATTGTCGCTTAACTCTATGAGGTGAATAACACATAGAAACTTCCAAGTGGTTGTCACTCAGTGTGGGCAAGGGAAGGCATGCAGCACTTAACAGCGCTTCTCTTCGTAATCGACGACCTCGCGCCGTCGTCATCGAGGCCTCAACCAAATCATCGAAATCAGCTTAGAGAGGTATATGTTTTAATCCCTTTGATAAAGCACAGTAGGGACGGAAGATAAAGCGCTCAACATCATCCAGCAGCTCCAGAATAGTTCCTTTGGACCATTGACAATGCGCCGGAAGATGGAAGGCTTCTTGGACTTCCTTTGGCTGACAAGGGATTGTATATAGTTGATATAATGCATATATCATGCATGCATATTTAGCCTAGTTTTACAATATCCCCTAGGCAGGAGGACGATATTTAGTTGTATTGACGAATTTTCACTATACGTCATAACTGTTATTTTTTAAATCATAATTCAATAATCATCTCTGTAAAAATCAATCAAATTATAAATAGTTTAATCATTGGCTTGGGCCCACTTACGCTTGTAGCGTGGTTGGGTGTGCCATAACAATTTTCCGTTTGGCATGGCATGTTGCTTGGCATGTTTTTTAATTATGATGCTTGAAGGGATAATTAGCATGGATTTATAGAACTAACGCATTTTATAATCTTAATCTCGATTCTTAGAATGACGGATTATTTATTTGGCATGGCATGCAAAATGTGATTCGTGCGTGGCGGATCTTTGCGTACTCCAAATTGGCCCTTTTTTGAATAATGCGTCATTTTTCTAAGTTAAAGTAGAAGTTGGGGAAACCGGGTTCTCAAGGTGCCAGGAGGAGCGTTGCACTCGGAAAGCGAAACAATATTCATTGTGGCAATAGCAATCATCCCTGGGCTCTCATCAGTGGATATTCATTGTGACAAGAGGAGAATGATTGGAGAGAGAAATGGAGTACTGAGAGAATCAGGGGAAGAATATGAAGGAGGAAGAGACAAAAGAAAAGAAAGAGAAGAAGAAAAATAAAAATAAAAAACATTAAAAGAAAGATATAGATTTACAAAAATGCCCTTGTGCTTAACGGGTTGCTAACAGGTATTCGCGAATTGACACGACACGACACGATAGCTTAACGGGTTGCTAACGGGTCAACACGATATCAACACGACACGATAACTCAAACACGAATACTGAATTTTTCGTGCGAATTCGTGTCATGTTAACGGGTTGTGTACAATATTGCCATGTCTACATCACACAAGCTACTTTTTATTTTCCAAGTTTACCCTTATTATATATATTGACTTTTTTGTTTTAATTTACAACAAGCTAATCTTTTTATAAATTTTTTTTACCACCTTATTAAAAAATTAAATAAATAAATAAAAAACGTCAGTTTTTTTTTTGTGGTTTTCTCTTGAGAAATGAAACTCCTATTTTCTCTTTGTTTCTATTGGTCATTAACAATGGCTATGTAAACATCACATGTGCAGCTTCCGCCTTAGACAAGTTTGACTGTTTTAGTGCAAAAAAATCATCCTTCGAGCATGGCCTTAGTGGTATTAGACCTGGCATTCGTGTCGTGTTATCAGTGTTCATGTCGTGTTCGTGTCAACCCGCTTTTTTTAACGGGTTGACACGACACGACACGATAAGAAAACGGGTTGAAAATGCTCAACACGAACACGACCCGTTGCCATTCGCGAATTACACAACACGACACGAATCACACGATAAGAAAAATAAACAGTTTTTAAATATATTTTAAAATTTTAAAATAAAATATCAATTACAAACAATACATTATACATCCGAAAAAAATATGGGGATTGTTAAAACTGGGGAAGCTGCTGACTAAGGAAGCAGCCATGGGAGAAAAGCTCCAAGCTTTGAGTTCAAAGCAAACAGCTTGGCAATGAAAGAAAGAGAGTAGTTTGGGAAAAAAAAAAAGAAAAAAAAAAGAGAGTGGTTTGGCAAAGAAAAAAAAGAAAGAGAGTGGTTTGGCCAAAAAAAGAAAGGAAAGAAAGAGAGTGAACTGGGATGGGAAGGAGGCGGTAGAAGAAAATGAGGATAGATTTACAAAAATGCTGAAGAGAGAGAGAGAGAGAGAGAGAGAGAGAGAGAGAGAGAAATGGAGTACTGAGAGAATCAGGGGAAGAATATGAAGGAGGAAGAGACAAAAGAAAAGAAAGAGAAGAAGAAAAATAAAAATAAAAAACATTAAAAGAAAGAGATAGATTTACAAAAATGCCCTTGTGCTTAACGGGTTGCTAACGGGTATTCGCGAATTGACACAACACGACACGATAGCTTAACGGGTTGCTAACGGGTCAACACGATATCAACACGACACGATAACTCAAACACAAATACTGAATTTTTCGTGCGAATTCGTATCGTGTTAACGGATCGTGTACAATATTGCCAGGTCTAAGTGGTATCAATCAACAGTGGTCTAAATTCTTTTTGTGTTTAAAAAAAGACGTCCTCTCTTGAAAAGAAAAACATACATTTATTATAATAATAGAAAAACAAATTTTTTTTTTCAAATAAAACAAACATTTTCTTATTATTTAATTTATTTAACGAGGTGATAAAATAGATATAAAATAAAAGGATAAATGAAGGAAACAAAAAAGCTAATACATTTAATAAGGGTAAATTTGGAAAACAAAAAGTAGCTTGTGTGATGCATTAATGACATTATTTTAAGTGTAAGGAAATTGACAGATGTCATAAGGAGAAGGGAGAATGTCCAAAAGAGAAGGTTAGAGAGAAGGTTGCTAGTATTCCCTTATTAAATAATAATAATAAATATTTAGTAGTTTATTCCCGCGGCCCTAACTCACTTTCTCGAAAATTATTGAAATTCTAGAAGAAATAACAATATTAAAAATAATAAAAATGCAACCCGTGAAATGGGCCAACAAACGCAAAATACGGAATTAATTGTCACAATCCTATTTATTAGATACAACAAAGACATATGTTCGACCAAAGAGAGAAAAAACAAAGACATGTTGGTCCTGGAATAATTCCAAAGTTTGGTACAGTCTTCTTACACATACAAATTCAACCAAGTATGTTCGTTACTGTCCCCATTTTCATGATACGTCAATTATGTCTTCCATCTATATTATAAGTTTCGTACTGTCAAATAAAAATGCGGCTATGAAACCTAACAAAAATCATCAAATAAAAATGAGACTATAAGTAATTAATTATATGAGACTCAACTGATGTTGATACTAATAATGAACTCATTCGTATTGCATGCCCATAAATAAAAAATTTCTTATGATTTATCACATGAAATTTCATTCTACCTGACAAATCACACTTACACCGCAGTAGCGGGAAATGAAGATTTCATGCCATTCCAAAATGTTCTCATAAAGATGTATATAAAGGGGAGAGGAAAATTTGTATTGTGTCTAATTGCATTCTCTCGTTTATTGAATTATCCACTCCTTTTAGACAATTAAGTTTTTTTAATATATAATTTTCACTAGTAAATTAAAATATTGGAGGAAACTAATCACGTGTTTGGTTGTTATTAGTTGTACAGCTCAGTATAAATACTGAAACTTAGCTTTGTAACTCATTCAGAAAAGAGAAATAACAAATTATACAGAGCATTCTCTCTTGTTTTCTCTTTGTTTCTTCAAACTTTTCATCCAAACCTCCATAAGACAACATGATATTTATCGGCGAGGTACAAGTATTTAAAAGAGTTTGCCTAATTACAAGTATTTATAGGCTAGGTACAAGTATTTATCGGATATTTATAAACTCTTCATCCAAACCTCCATAATTCTAATAAATCATGAAGTTTAGATTGTTTGTACAAGTATTTAAAAGAGTTTCCCTTATGAAACGCAAAGTATCATACTCCCTATTATTAAAACCTTGAGTTTGAGCAGTTTGTTGTTTGTTCCATAGGCAGAACTGAAAGCACAAAATGTGCTAATTATCAAATTGTCATTAATATTCTTCTTCTAATAAACAAAAATAAGAAAATTAGTATGTTGTTAAACAGAAATTAATATTAATTGCCTTTGCTTTTAATGGTAAAAATAAATTTAAAAAATTTGAAAAAAGTGGTAGAAATCCAGTGTTTTTGCACACCAAATCTTATTCATTAGAATTATGAAACATTTTTAAATGTGAGAAAAGTGGAGGTAAAAATATCTTACTAATCTTATTCCTACATTGTCCATTAGTTTTAAAGTGGAGGTAAAACAGAGATTTGATCTTCAGCTTGGAAACCCCAAGTCCCAATGCATCCTCGCGGGACCCAGTGCCGCACACAATAAATGTCTGTTTACTCTCGATTATACCTCGAATATTTAAACCGCGCTCTTCTTCACCCAACGGTCGTTTCACACCACGAAAATAAATAAATTTTTTTTTGGGTTTCATTTTGTGTGTTTTTTTTTTCCCCACAGTACGATGCAATTGCAATATACAAAATACAAATTGCTTGTTATGATAATTTCGACAAAAAATAAAAAGAAAGAAAAATCATATGATCCACTACAAGACAACCTACGGGAAGATGCTAACGTGCGCATCTTACCTCTGCTCTTCTTGTTACAGTGTCCCCAGGCCTCCAGCTCACTTACTTAGAGACTAGAGAGTGAGAGAGAGAGATAACACTAAAACAAGCTCGTAATTCGTGATTTTTCTCTTGCTCGTTTTCCTTCACTTTCTCGGCTACCAAACAGAGGGTACTTACTTGCTCATATCTCCTTAAAAAATAAACTTTTTATTTATTTATTTATTTATTTTATTTTACTGGGTTTAAGAACTTGAATGGCTCTAGATTCTCTCATACTCGAAGAATGTAGCTTGCTCTCTGAAATTTAGGAATTTTCTTTGATGTTTGTGCTTGTTTAGGAAAAGTAGAGGTTCTTTCCTGCTGTTGAGGCTCTTGTTTCCCCAACAAAAATGTTCGGTTTTTCTCGCAGACGCATGAAGCTTGGACGGTGACCTTTTCTTCTTATTCTATTTTCTGCTTTATCTCCACTTTGAGCTTTCTTGCTTTTTTTATTTTTTTGGTTGAAATTTTTGAGCTATTTTTCCTTCAGTTTATACCTCTTAATCAGTGAATGTTGTGACATTTGAAAGTTTGATATAAATAAAAGTAAAAATCAGTGTGTTTGTGTGGGCTCAGATTAAAAGTCCAGCTCTCAGACTCTGCTCAGGGAACTAGAAGCCCCATAAGACAACCGAAACGAAATAACAGCTCCAATGTAAGGGTTTTAGCTTTGTTTTGCATATAAATTAATTTGGCCTCAATCAGTCCTGCACTAAGCCTATTTGAAATTTCCAGAGTGAATGTGATGCCCCTGCAAGCAGTAATTCTGATGAGCTCGATCACCAGTGTTCGTCTGCTGCTCCTGAGATTAGTAATTCCACAATGGGGAGCTCCGAGAATTGGATGGTGTTGTCAGTTTCTGGGGACAAGCCGACGCCCCGCTTCAATGTAAATTGTTATTGATACTTGGTCCTGTAATTGCTTCACATGGTGCATTGATTTAATTGATTTTTTTTTATGGTGTTGCTGAAATTGAAAGCTTTGTGTTTAATGTTCTTGCATAGCATGCCGCAGCTGTAATTGGGAACAAGATGATAGTGGTTGGTGGTGAATCTGGGAATGAATTGCTAGATGATGTACAGGTAGGATAATGTTCCTTACGTCTCAAGGGAATTATTTAAACTTGGAGAAGCTATCTTTGGCTTTTATTTGATAATGAATTCAATGGGGACTCATGTTGCAAATCATTGTGTTGGATTGGATATACAATAACAGCTGGTGTTTCCAATTGCATCAGGTGCTTAATTTCGACAGTTTTACCTGGACCACAGCTTCGTCTAAGCTTTACTTGTCACCGAGCAGTCTACCATTAAAGATCCCTGCATGCAAGGGCCACAGACTGGTACAATCATATATTTGTACCAAATGTTGTGTCATGTTTGTTTTTCTTTTCCTCTGTTATGATGCTCCAGTGTATACTTTGCTATGTTAAATTGGATATATTGCCTGGTGAGACACATTGGATATCAAAACCCATGTAGATGAGGAATTTGGGGAGCTGGTTTCCTAGAAAGCTATGAACTTAAAATTTGAAAGAATACCAAGGAAAAGAGTTACCATATCATAAATTGGAATCAATAACAATGTCTAGGTAAATCAGATTGGTTGATCTTTTGAAAGTTTTGTTCGTTCTTTCTCTTGTCTAGGTGTCTTGGGGAAAAAAGGCACTCCTTATTGGAGGAAAAACTGAACCTGGGAACGAAAAAATTTCAGGTTAAATTTCTGTCTTGAAGCTCACGAAATCATCTCCCTTTTTTTTTGGCTTGTGCTTGTATGAAGTTGTCCAATTGTTCTTTCATTTTGCAGTTTGGGCATTTGACACAGAGACAGAATGCTGGTCTCATATGGAAGCTAAGGGCGATATACCGGTACTTCTTTTAACGAGTTAATTACACAAACATTTCTTGGGGTTTAGCATAATTTTGACTTAGGCCTTACACTTATAACACGACTACTTGAGTTTTAATTATGGTTGCATTGCATATACACACCCCCCCCCCCCGTTAATCTACTGTGAGTAAAAAACTGACCTCAGTTTAATTATTTTCTTAAAATGCCAAATTTGACCTCAGTTGTATGTAGTTAATAATAGTAAAAAATCCATGAAAAACACCAAGACACCATAAACGCTACAATAAGAGGAGCTATTTTTGAGGTGAAGATGCTAAAAGGACATGGCATCCAGTGACCAGTGGTGGGTTGCTTATTGAACCAATAAGTAATTACTACATTGTCCCTGTAACTTATTGTCTGCCTCAGTAACTTCGAATTAGTGACCTAATGATAATTTAACGGAGTGATAGTTTAATGCTAAGCAGTCCCACCCACATCTCACGCATGGCAGGTTGCTCGCACTGGTCACACTGTTGTCAGGGCAAGCTCTGTATTGTTCCTATTTGGGGGTGAGGATGCTAAAAGAAGGAAGCTGAATGATCTGCATATGTTTGATCTGAAGTCCTTGACATGGCTACCTCTTCATTGCACGTGAGTGAGTTTTGCTATATTGTGTGAAATTCATTGTTCTAATGTTAACCTCTTTCCTTTTATGGAAACCCTTGTTGCAGGAACCTTTTAACTAAGATTCTTTGTAAACTTTTTAATTTCTTGATATGCGTACAGAGGAACAGGACCATCTCCGAGGTCCAATCACGTGGCAGCTCTTTATGATGATAAGACTCTTTTTGTATTTGGAGGCACATCAAAATCCAGGACTTTGAGTGATCTGTATTCACTTGACTTTGAAACTGTGTGTGAATTCTCTCTCATTCTTATATCTTTTAAAATACTGGATTATGTGGCCAAACATTTCATCTCGTTATGGATGAGAATTTGATGTTTATCTGTGATGTGCTGATGGACTTTTTCCACAGATGGTATGGTCAAGAATAAAGAAACGAGGTTTCCATCCATCACCTAGAGGTGGTAGCTGTGGGGTCCTATGTGGAACCAAATGGTATATTGTTGGGGGCGGAAGCAGGAAAAAACGTATGCCTCATAATTGAAAGACATGCTTGAACATTTTTACCAGTTTCTTAACGTTGAGCTTTTACATATGATATGCATGATTGTTATGCTTCCTTAATGTTAGCTTTGAAACATTAAAAAATGTTGCAACATATTCTATTGGCTTACCTATAAAAAAAACAGATAAAAAAGCATATCCCTTAATGCAATTTTTTCTAATCTTTCCAGGACATGCGGAGACTCTGATCTTTGATATCTTGACATTTGAGTGGTCAGTGGCCATTGCATCACCTCCTTCTTCAATCACCGCCAATAAGGTGTGCAATGGTGATTTTTACCTTTGCCATAATTTTCATAGGTTTTGACGTTTTATTTTCCTTTAAAATACCATAGTTTTAGTAATGTTCTTCTTGTTTAACACATTTTTTAACTTATAAAACAAATACTCACTTTTATATGTAGTCTAAATAGATGGCATTTTCGAACGCTACATGATGTCAGTAAAACTAGCTTATGGAATGCATGAATAAAATTGACACTGACGCTGGGCAGGGACAGAGGTGGTTCCCTGCTTGTGCTTTGTCTGAAGGTTAGGATTCCCATCCCCGCCTTACATACATGGGGATATGTAAGGTAAACGCACAATAAGAACAGAGATACTGTAATAGCAAAACAAATATTACTAGGGTTGAGTGGGGATGAGAGTCCTAGGATGGGTACTCTGTCCCTCATGTAAGGGCTATGGTCGATCCCTGCAAGTTCCAATTATTAAAATTTTCCATTCTTATGACAGCATGAACATAATTCTTCGGTTGTTACTTTATGCATAGTTCTTATGTTGCATTCTCAGGGTTTCAGCCTAGAGCTTGTGCAGCACAAAGAAAAAGATTTTCTTGTTTCATTTGGTGGATGCAGAAAGGAGCCAACAAATCAGGTTTGTAGAAACTAATGTTTATAGTTTAGTTGATTTCTCATTAACATGCCTTATTCCCTCAAAAAATTTGTTGCAGGTCGAAGTACTGACCATGGAAAAGAATGAATCATCCATGAGTCGCCGATCTTTTCCCAGCAAAGTCCCTGGAACTTTGTTGCCTGAGAAACGCTCATCCACTGGCCTGGTTGGTCAACTAAATAATGGTTCTTCTCAGCGCTCAGTTAATTCAGTTACTAGACAAAATCTTGCATCTGCAATTGAACATCATGGTTCTGGAAGAAAATCTTTGTCAGAGTCCTTGCTTGTTGATCCAAATCCTGTTTCTGGTAATGTTTCACTTAGGAAACAATTCCATAATGACGAAGAATACAACACGACTGTTAGGGTGGTAAAGAGTTCTGAAGATGAAAGCTCTTTCTCACAGGTAAGTTGCGGAAGTTTTTCTTAACTAACTACCATCTGACTTATGGTACCATCTCTATCACTAGTTAAGAATTGAGTTATAAAGCGAAACTTATATGGTTTGAAGAAAGTTTTGAGTTCAGTTTTGCTTTGTGTTCCTTAGATGGCCCAAAGACTGTTGGGGGTTGCCATACAAATCTGTTTCATTGTGCCGAGTCATTTTTAGTTGTAATTTAACCTGCTTCAATGATGTACTGACTTAAATATTATATTCGTTTCAGCCAACAGAAAAGAAAAACAGTCAATCTGATTCAGGAGTCCAGACTAACGTACTTGGAAGTAGACTCTATTCGGAGGAGATGCTCTCTGGATATGAGTATGAAAATTCAAATCATCACAATCATGGAATCGGAAACCTTTCAGTTGATAACAATGATGCAATGTTCCTAGAAACTGATAGTAAACCAGGGGCCCTATCAGCTCCGTCAAGTATTTACCACTATTATGAATCAAAGATGGCTACAATAATAAGAAAGAATGGAATTTTAGAAGGGCAGTTGGCTGCTGCATTGACCAGCCGAGAAGCGGCTGAGAAAAATTTATCATCTGCCCTCAAGAGCAGACAGGAGATGGAGAGAAAATTAGCAGACACTGCAAAGGAGATGGAATTGCTCAAGGAAAAAGTTGCTGGTGTAGAGATAGCACAAGAGGAGGCTAACAACCTCTCAAATATTGTTCATTCTGACAATGTGAGGCTTGAGCACGATGTGGCTTTCCTCAAGGCAGTTTTGGATGATACTCAGAAGGTATTGTGAACATCACACTTTAATGTTCTCATTTAGTATCCAAGTTATCACTTATTACATTAACCAATTCAAATCAATTCTGGTGATTAAATATAAATGCAGGAGCTCCATTCAACTAGAGGAGTGCTTGCAGGAGAACGAGCAAGGGCATTCCAACTACAGGTATGGCTTTGAAAGGGGTGAAATTTCTGCTGAATGTTGCTTTACATTAAAATTCTTATAGCATCTTTTATGGCAGCTCTTCTTCAAAATAATTTATCTCGAAACTTTACAATGCATGTGCCATTTTACCAAAATCCATATATCATAGGTTTAGACGTTTAGTTCTTAATTTTGTTTTTCCCCTTTAATAACCTCATTTTACATATATCAGGAGTTGAATCCAATGCATGGAACTTATAAAACCTTTTTATCCTTCACTTTTTAAAATTAGACTTGTTTACTCCTCCCTGATTTGTTTTAAGCCACCGTCGCCATCCCTTCATGTTGCCATGCAGGTCGAAGTCTTTCATCTCAAACAAAGATTGCAATCTATGGAGAATCGAGCACCTACCCCAAGGAAACCTTTCTAGTCCGTAGAAAACAAAGGGTTGAGAGTTAGGGACGTCAATATCTAATGAAAGGCAAGCAGGGAACTGTGGAACAAATCACAACTGCACTCCAATGGCACAGGCCCCAACCCATAGCAGACGTCAAGCCGCCTCAATCTTTGCTTGATTACAAGCCCAGTCACACACCTCGAGAGCTTGTTGTGGTGAATCCTACTTGTTCTACCATGTACATAAGTGTATCAACCAGTCACCTTAAACATGTATGTTTCTTTTTTGGTCAAAAGCTTGAAACGAAAGCAGATATGCTACATTTTGTGAGCTTTTTCCACGTTCAGATGAGGAAAACGTTGATTCTGTGTCTAATGGCGACTGAGAAGCTAATTTCTGTGCACATTGTACCCTTTTTTGGCAGCGATACTTATTACCATTGGCTGCTAACCAATAAATCCTCACCTGTTAGCAATAACCATTTGATAGACGACACAATTTTATGTAAAGACGACATTGCACCGAGGCAGCCATATTAGCCAAAATTGGCAGGTACATTTAAATCAAAATATTGCAAGGGAGTGACAAGAATTCGTCAAGGTACAAATAAAAAAAGACTGCAAACTGAAAATATTTCTTGTAGGTTAAATTGGGTGATTCAATCACGTTAACTTTGTCTCCATCTTGATAATATGGAGAAAAAGAATACTAAAACTTACAAGAATTACATAAAAACTACATAAATAAAAAGGCAGAAGCAAAATGTCGATAACATGCGCTAATCATTCTTCATCTTGTACTTAAATTAGTTGTGAAGGGCTCCACTTTATACAAGTTGTAACATGAGATCACAAAGAAAATACACTATATGACACTAAATGATGTAACAAAATTTGACAAAATTTGTAAGGAAATGGAAATGACACAGGGTTGCCAACTTGCCACAATGAGGAGGATTTGCCTGCCATGAAGATTGTAACTCCGCAGCCACTGGTGAATACTCTTTCTTGCTCCCTATCTACGCAGCATGACCTTAGGCCATTCGTACCATATTAATACAAAAAATTCCGTTGGTTGCATGACGTGATACCAAGAAATATATCGGAAAAGAAAGCATTTCTTAGGGGTGTCAACTTGCTTGCAGAACGGCAACCCCCAACTGGCATTCTTTGCAACTACAGTCTCTTCACAAAAGCTTTACAAAATACCTTTAGTTAGCTTAATTCACAGAAGCTCAGTCTCTTCTTGGTCTCCATCAGCATCGTCAACCTCATTTTCTTCATCTTCTTCAGGTGCATCGGGATCCACCCCCTAGAGAAATAACAACTTTTAAAATTGACCTTGCTGAATTGCATCACCATTATTGAATATTTTGGAATTAAGAACATCATTAAAATAGAATACAATAATTGGATTCGTGGATTTAAAATGATGTATTTAGTTTAATTTGTTGCACCAAATGTTGAAAGTAAATTAATAAAACAGAGTTTTGATACTTTTGTAAATTGTAACAGATTGAAAAGAAAAAAAAATTGCACTCTTCTTCTATACAAAACAAGATCATTTATTTTTTTTAAAGAATTTTAGTTGAGTGATTTAAAGAGTGAATTTGAAATTAAATTATTTTCTTGAGTATTTGAATCCCTACACCACAAATACTGAAACTTGTGGATTTTTCAACCAAAAAAAAAAAGATTACTTCTAAAGTTTCATTAAACAATTTACACTACATTCAATCACCCATTTTAAGCAGTATAAACAGGACAAACCTTCATCTGTTTCTCTAAGCGCTCTAAACCTTTTTTTGCCGCTTCATTCTGTCGGTTTATCCTGTAATGCATGTCAGGAAATAAAATTTTGAGCACATTTTAGTCATTTTATGATCATACCAGGGCAGCATATTCCAACATCATTCAGGGTGTATTAAAGCACTCTATAGTGAATGACCATATTTTACAGCAGGCATATGATCAAAAGTCTGTTGTTTCAAGAAAACTAACTTATAATCCCATGTCATCCATACTTGGCTTTTAACTTCTTTAATCACCTTAAAATGCTATTTATGGAGCAACTGAATTTCCACAGCATACCCAAACACACCCCAGCAAAAGCTCCGTGAGAATGTAGATTTTAATTCCTAACACTAACAGCGAAAAAGTGATTCAGGACATATAAAATAATTGTTAACCTCAATGCATCTTCATAATGCGACAATGCCTCTTGGAGCATATTTGTTGCGGCAAATACTTGAGCTAGTTTAACATGCAGAGAGTCATCAGCCCAGTCCTTAAGATATCGTTCTAGCAGAGACACAGCATCCCCGTTGCGGCCTTCAATAACATGTAGCTCAGCCAGAGCTAATGCAGCTCCAAGGTAACCAGGTTCCAGCCTAAGGGCTGACTCATAGAACTTTTTTGCCTATTTCAAGATTAGTTGAATTCATAAGGAGGAAAACTTGATTTCTGAACTCGTGCTGAAATGATCTAATTACAGGCTTACCTTCTCCCTACCACTAGAGTTACTTGCATGTACATCCCCTACCAATTTTAGAGCCTTCGCAGATTGAGGCATAGCCTTCATAGCTTCCCTGGAAGCATATAGAGCCTCTTTGATTTTAGAGAGAGCTAAATAGGAATGAACCAAACCTGAAATCATAATTGAGTTACTGATCATTAGCTTCTGCAATTACTTCACATATTTCTCTCTTTACAAAATGCTTGGATGAAACAAAAATAAGTCAATGACAGACAATAGATGCATGTCATGCAAGTGAGTATTTTCCTTTACAAGTCCCACCTTGATATGAACGAATATCAGGTCTCAACTCTTGAGCTACCCTGAAGGCAACTACAGCAGCTTCTGCTCGCTTCATTGATAATAATAGGTTACCCTGAAAGGTTGAAATAATTTTTTTATATCATTTGAGAAAAGGGCAAGAAGAAAGATACTGATATATTTATAAACACAGATGCTCCAGGCTATCAAATATAAGATCATATCAATACCTTCATTATATAACCCGGTATGTGTCTCTCATCAATTCGTATACTCTGATGCAAATAAATAAGGAACTTATGAGATGAATAATTGAAAAAAACACCAAGCTTACACTATTTTAATTAACAGACCTTCTCAGCATAGGACAAAGAGCCTCTCTCATCTTTCCTTTCCCAAAGTACGGATAAGGCCACAAAAACTTCTGGCCTTGTAGAATCAGTTATCAGCAAATCATGCACTAATTTGTTTAGCTTTGAAAAATCAGACTTTGTTTTTAGAAGCATTGCATACTCATCCATATATGTTACAACATATGGATCCATAGATCGAGCCTGCAAACAACATAAACTTGAAAGTATGAGTTCATATTTACATGACATGTATTCATAGGGTGTATGTGCAACCGTGCTTGCGTGTGTGGGAGTGTGTTTGTGTGTGTGTGTGTGTGTGTGTGTGTGTGTGTGTGTGTGTGTGTGTGTGTGTGTGTGTGTGTGTGTGTGTGTGTGTGTGTGTGTGTGTGTGTGTGTGTGTGTGTGTGTGTGTGTGTGTGTGTGTGTGTGTGTGTGTGAGAGAGAGAGAGAGAGAGAGAGAGAGAGGTCTATGAACACTTGAATTACCATAATAACTTAAAAATGAATTACCTTTTCAAAATTCATTATAGCCTCATCATTTTTCCCAATAATAGCTTCAACCTTCACATGCAATTATATATACAAAAGCAGAAATTAAAATGCTACCTTGTTAGAAACAACATAGTATAATTATAATTTAAGATCTCATATATAAAAATTTAACCCAAGCAATTAGATTAAAAAGTACTCTTTGTAATCATTCAGTGAAATTTGTTGTATTCTTCATAGGGCCAAAAGTCAGTATTTTCAGAAATAATTAAAAAAATGATGTAACTACATTTCCGAAAGTAAGTTATGCCCACAGGTAATTTATATAAAGGATAAAACTATAATTATCAGGGTTGAGCATTTTGGTGGGTGGTAATAGTGCACACTCAATTTTGTTTTTTGTCAAATTATACCTAATTGAGAGTAGCTGCAAAGGATTGAGAACTTAAAAGAAGCAAACGCACAACCCAGAAACTCTCGTAAAAAAAAACCTAGAAATTCATGGTCCATATAAATGAGAGATCGTGTCAGAAGCCTATTCCTCCCATCAAGATAACTTCATTCAGAAATCAGTGCATGCATATATTTTCTAATTATCAAGCAAAACCAGTAGACAACAAAATACCATTCTTAGCATAGAAAAAAACCTAAATAGATCACATACAATCAGTTCTAACCTTTGCAACTTCAAGTAACAGGTGTAAATTATTAGGGAAACGTTGTAAAAGATCTGTAAAGAGTTCCAGACCACCTGCAAAACCAAAAATAAATAAGTATAAACTGTAAAAAGTTGTAGACATTAATCATCAGTTATTACTCAAACAAATAATGCAAGTAGAAGTTTCCCTAAATACACCATGAAACTACATCTAGGAATGGGAAAGGATATGAAAACTTTCTACTTCCATATAGGAACATTGTACAACATGAAATCAACAGTAATAATACCCAGTTTTATCCATGCAAAATCCCCAACATTGCAGAAGAAAATATTCCTTTTACCTTTGTAATCATTCGAAGCAATGCAACACTGGGCCTCAACATAGCGCTGCACAAAGAAAAACAAATGTAAAAACAATTTTGTTGGAGTAACAGGGTTTCCTCTTCCCCCCCTCTTCTTTCCAATATTTACACAATATGCACAATATGTGCTCAGTTGAGGAAGGAAAGAATTATGTGCAAGCTGAATTGCAAAACGCACATGCATGACAAAACACCAATACAGACTGACCAACAAAATTTTGTCTTGAATCAGTGCTATGATAACTATGCCTAAAGAAAGCTCCTTTCAGTATATGTCCATCCAAACAAACTTTAAAAATTTGTCAGGAAGAGTGGGGCAGTTCATGTGGATATGAATCCATCTAAACATGCTTAGCATAAAAGAGGAAAAATTGTCCAATGTGTTAGCTAATAATAAATGACCGCTGCTTCCTCATTTGTTACTTACATGTAGCCAGCGACTTGAGTCAAAGTGATCAAATGGAGCCCTCCCGCTTCTATTTGGAGTCTGAAATTGAAAGCCAAGAAACGGAATTGAAAAAAACATTGCCATTGGGCATTCTTAAAAGATTTCCTGTTTTATTATAAAAGTCAAATCATATTTTGTAATCAAAATCGAGTCTTGAGCTCCAACATTCAACTTATCCAAGTAACATTTAGAGGAGCTCTATCCAAGTAATCAGAGAACTATGGATTGATAAGTTATATGCCGCATATGAACACTGCAACTTTTTTTTTCTTTTTCTTTTTCTACAGATAGCATAAGTCAAATACAGCTTCACTATGACAAGCTTTACAGGACATCCAAGATATAAAGAACTTAACACGACACCAGACATGCTAAAATGATTTGATCAGCTAAATTTAAATGGCTTCATGCTTCAGCCAAAAACCTGAGGAATCAAGGAAATAATGTCTTTGGCAGCAACTCCTAGTTCTGCTAAGGCTACAATAGCCTCAATGACATAAGGGCAATGCCTGTCAAAAGCACCAAAAATGAAGCAGCGTGAATATAAAAGATAATATATTAATTCTATAGAGATTGCTAGCAAACCAAAAAAGCATTAACACAATTGTACACATAGATGAACAAGGATGCAACAGGAAAGCTAGAATTCACATGATAACAATAATCTCTGTGAGGGTATAGTCCAGCCATACTTAAGTGAGCAGGGGAAGGAAATCCAAGATTTTTACATTCAATAGTAATATCTTGGTCATTAACTTTTAAAAAGTAATTTTCAGTGATATCCTTCTTTAATTACATAGGACGCTCTCAGAAAAAGTCAAGCATATTAGAGGGGATTTAAAGGGTGTGCAAGCCATAGATATTGACCAAAACAGAACACCTATAAATCGTGCAATGGAGAGAGAGAGAGAGAGAGAGAGAGAGAGAGAGGTTAGGGTACAGTGAATTCTGAATCTTTAACCTCGACCATCACCCTGTAATTACTTCAATTGCAATATCCAATTCTTAATAATAATAATGCTCAGGAAGAATCTAATACTGCCTACTCCAGATAAACAAAGAACTCAGTGATTCTTGTGATTCAGAGTATTAGTGCAGCATAGAGATCACACGGAAAGCGTGTTCGCAAGCTAGTATTTCTAGAATTTTATGACAAGAACACATGAGCTTATAAAAGATACAAGTAAAAGAGAATCTCAAGATATCTACATTTCTTAAAATACAAACTGAGTTAAAAGATGATATGCACAATTTGATTGACATACCTTAGACATTCTTTGAAACAAGAAACAGCAGAACGGTTCTGTCTAGAGTACCGATAAAGCTTTCCCATCAACAGATTCATCTGCAAGTTTCTCACTTTGCTTGGAATGTTGTCCATCTGCAAAGTTTTAAAAGTGCATCAGACCCCAAAGTGAATGTGCTAAAAGTGCCATATGAAATATAATTATAGATATAGATAAACGACTGGTAGAACTTATCCTTGCAAAATCGGCTTACAAGGAAAGAGCCATGTGTTTATATATGACATATTCCAAAAGGTACCCCGGCAATGTGGGACTATGCTAACAGATTATATATTTAGGATAAATAAATAGAAAACAGATAAAACAAAAGACAAGGAAGCAATCCCTGATTAAAACCAACAAAATTTACATTGGAACTATCAAGATTCTCGTACTCAGACCTGAAGTTTACACAAATTATAGTAGGATTTGCCTTGCCCATAAACATTAGTGCATGTATGTCTGTACCTCAGAAAGGGCTGTTCCATTCTCACCAAGCGAAAAATGACAGGAAGCAATTTTGAACTTCACCTGTCATGTAAGAAGGGGACTTTGTATAAATAGCGCCAAACAGAAAAGAAACACCATTATCCTCTGAAAAAGCTCAACATAGAAAATAACTATTTGGCGAATGAAATCAGCCTACCTCATTCTCATTAATTCCTGAAATGTTAAAAAAATTTGGAGAAGAGGACCTGTTTGATGACAATGAACTTCTGGTAGATGTTGCATTTGTTTTGGAAATCATCTTGCAAAATTGCAATGCTTGCTTGTACGTATGCTGTCGGCGAACAAGAAAAATGAATTATATAATCTTTCAAAATTTATAATGTAACAGCATAATTAGATAAAGAAACAAATCCCAAGTTGGTTGCATACGGTTCTTAACATGAGCATAACTACCAAATGGACTTTTCCACCTAATGCTTTAGCTCACTTACTTTACAGTTAGTCATCAGTAGAATCAGTACTTGCAAAAAAGGACCACTTTTTTTTTTGTTCTATAAAGAGGGTCTTTTGCTTTGTGCAAGTTCACTAATTTGTATATTACAGAATAAAATTAGTGAAAAATGTGTGTGTTTATCTTACAATTGCTCTGCGATACTCCCTCTCGCGAAACAATGAATCTCCAAGAAGCACCTGTGCAGAAAAGAAAAAAAAGAGAGAGAGAAATTTAACAAGAGAGAGAGAGAGAGAAGGCCATCGATGGGAGTTGAAGATTCTGACCAAGCTTTCAGCTTTAAGGTGTGGGTTTACTTCGGCATTAGCAGCTGGTGAAGAAACAAGAAAACAACCCTACCCAATTTCCAAACACAAACAACATTTCAATCACCACGAAAATTTAAGAAAAAAAAAAAGAGAAGAAAATTTGAAATAGGAGGGGGGAGAAGAACGATTACGAGCATCTGAGCTGAGTTGTAGAGACCATGCTCCATTAGAGTAGCGATTTGATCCTTTGGGACGTCCATTTATGCGAGTGACTGAGTGAAAGCTTTGCTTCTGTCACTGAAATTTTTTGAACCGATTGGCGTCAGTGTTTGGAAGTTAACCCAAAACCCGCTCACCGTCTCCTCTGTCAGTTGGGTGTATAAATGAAGGGCGTGTTTGGTGATCGAAATAGATTTGCAATAATTCTTCATTTCTCCGAAATTTAAATCAATGTTTTGAGAAAACGGCAATAATAATTGTGCCGTTTCCTAGCAATTAGGCCAACACTTGGCAACTTGGCGTCAAATTACCCTAGGCCCCATTTGGTTCATAGAATGGATTTGAGGGGAAATCACTTCCCATGTAATTTTCCAACGGATGAGAAATGGAAGATTCTTTTTCCACATTTGGTAATGTTGGGAAAGTAATCGGGAGATATTACTTTATTTCCTTTCCCATGTTTGTTTTGAGTAGGAATAGAAAACAAAGTTTGTATAATTTTTCAATTATACCCATATTAAATCAAATAAAAAAATGCATTTAATGATATATTATAATTCTAAATTGTTAATGGGGACAAAATGGTCATGAAAAATGTGTATTTAATGTTGGCTCATTTTCCCAAACTTTCCCATGATAAGGGAAAACAAAACCCAAGTTGGGAGGGCTTTACTTTCCCTCTACTTTCCCATGAGCCAGGCAATGGCTTTCCATGCTTAGACTTACCAAACATGGAAAAGCAATTGATTTCTCATCCCCAAGCATCCTTTCTCATGAACCAAATGAGGCCTACACTCAAACACGACTTTTTTTTTTCTTTTTATACAAGCAATATTCTATTTTAATTTAATCTAAACTAAGGGAAGGTGGATTCAAACTCTGGTGCAGAGTTGGGAGTATATCCACTCTCGCTAACTTGGCCAACTTTACTAAACTCAAACACAACTTGTTAACTTATCTTGTTAATAATATATAAAAGTTAACCTCATCCGCACATCTAATATGTCATGTTTTGACTAATTAGCTTTTGGTCCGGTGATAGTTCAAATTCTACATTCTCATTAATCAAAAGTAAAACAAAAAGGTTTATAATCTTATTGTGTTGTATTTCACTTGTTTTTCTCTTATTTTTGTCAACCAAATATGAAATAAAAAGGAAGAAGATGATATCAATTATAGCATAAATAAGTTTTGGGCATGTACACAAAAAATGTATTTAAAAACATAAATCACAAATAAAATGATTTTTTCTAAAAGGAAAGAAAAAAAACATGTCTTTTTTTGGTTGAAATACAAGTAATAATCTAATTTAGGAAAGGAGGATTCGAACCTAGGTGCAAGGAAACAAGTTCATTATATTGGCCAATTGATGTAAAACCCAAATCCACCTCTAAACAGCTTTAGGGGGGTGTATTCAATTATATA